CAATCTGAAACTAGATTCTAGTCGTGTTCCAGAAGTAAAAATCCCATTCATTTTCTCCATCGGGCAACTTATAAACCTTTAATGACAGACCTACTGTGAGCTACGAGGTTGTTAATCAATTAAATATGTATTATTTCAACTATTTTTAATAATTGTGTTCAACAGCAGAATTCCTGGTTAAAAACTACATTTCCCATAATTCTGCAGTGCGATCTCCCCCAGTCAGAATATTTTCAGATTTAAAATTTGTAATGCTGTAATTGACCCTTCGCAAAGGCCTGCCCCCTTAGTTACTGTTGCTATGTCCGACAAGCCATGCCGCTCTCACGCCACACATCAGTAGAAAATACATCGCTGATCAAAGAGGACACTGACAACGCGCCGACAGACAAGACAGAGCAGGTTACTTTAGGTATGAAACAAAGTGTCAGCATTCAAATTTCGTCATTTTAAAAAAAAATTCAAACAAATAAATACCGTTTTGTGGCTCTTTAATGTGTCGTGACCAAGCGGCAACCACCCGCTCTCTCTCGTGAAGCCAACACGGAAGTGACTTAAACTGTAATTCATCAACTGGCCGCTAGAGGCTGGCTGCAAAAGGGAGTCAGTTCCATAGACTCCCCATGTTAAAATGCCCAACTTTACAGCAGAAAAAAACATGTTCACAGCCTGGGTCAAAAAATTATTTTGGTCTATATAGCTAATTTTGCCCTTCATGACAACTGTGAGGGGGGGTGAATTTCGATTATCCAGGAGTGACGCACGGTGACGCGTTGCCAAGATGGCGACGGCCCGCTCCGCCCACTTTGAGCTTCAGAAAACTACGGGTGACGTCACGGACACTACGTCCATGTTTTTATACAGTCTATGGTCGTGACAGATCGCTATAGCGCCTCATTTCAAGCAGCACATGAACTGATCGCCTTTTCATATTTACTACTATTTATAGCAGAATAAACATGAATGAACATCAGAAGGTATGTTGTTTCAGCCGTGGAAAGACGTCAATAAACAGTAGTTTAACGTTGGTGGACTTGAACTTGAACTCTCTACACTCCTGTCAGGGATGTTTGTCGGACAAAATGGCGGATTCAGCATTATGATTGGTCAGACCGCCTGTCAATCAAACTCCAGGCGAAGGGTGAATTTACCTCAGACTTCTTTTTTTTTTTATCCCTGTGGGAAAAATGAATGTGAAAATACTCCTAGACTCCAACTCACTCTTCATTTGTAAACATCCAGTAAGATTCTGGTTTTATAAACTTCTCAACATTGTACACATACAATGTATACAGTGCAAATGACAGAATCAGGAGCAAAAATACATAGCAACATGAAGCAAATAAAGATAAATAAGACAAGAGTTCACTACGGTTATACCACACTACAACCCAAAAAGGCAAAACTCAAAAACACAAAACTACCTCAGGATGGAACTGGAAAATGGCTTCAATATAACTATGAAATTCAATTAATTTTTAGAAGATTATGTAAATCCGTTCAGAAATATGCACAACAGGGCGCACCTGTGATCTCTGTCAACTCAATTTCTATCAAATCTGGAGTTTTTGTGTTTTGCCTTTTGTAGGGTAGAATAAAACAAAAGCATAGGGAAAAACTCTCAAATAGATTTTTAAAATACATTTCATAGAAAAACTGAAATATGCAGTTCTAATTGTGTATTTTCAGTTCACTTGCTACTAAAAGCCAAAACACTTTCAAAGATCTGATGCCACTAACCTGATATACTTCGGCAAATCCAGTGATTATATCCTCATCATAAGTGCTGCTAATTGTATCATTGCGTCTGGTTTAAACATTATTTCGTTGCTTGATAATTGGTATTTGATATTACTATTTACACAACTACTTCCGCTTTATACGTAGTGCAGCTCGGGCGTTTCCGGTTATCAGCGTGCAACGCGATTACGTGTTTTTTTTTGACGTTCCACTACGCTGACTTTCGTAAACATTCGCTACAGACGCGTCTGTGTTGCCAAGTCCGTGGTTTTCCCGCGGAATTGTGCTACTTTGACACTGGCCGCAGGTTAAAGGGATAGTTTGGACTACTTTTGATTAGCAGTTGGGCTGGTTTTGTTTCGCAGACCTGGCAACCCTGCGTTCGACCTTAATGTTATTTACATACAGCGAAATTGTTTTTTTTTCTCTCTCTTCTTTTATTTTCCTTTTTCTTCTGTCCTTTTCTTAAGAATTTTTATATTATATTGTTTTTTTTTTCTGTGATGTTTTATCTATTAATCCTCAAGTAGTTTATTATTGATTGGTATTTTGTATGTTTTGTACGTACTGTTTTTTACTGTTTGTTTTGTACGTACTGTAATCCTTGTTGTTTACTGCAATTAAAAAAAAAAAAAACATTAAAAAATTTAAAAAAAAAAAATACAGCGAAATTGTCAACGATGTAACAATAGTGACTTAAACATACATTTAATAGAACTAAAGTGAGGAGTTGGTTATGTTTGAGGCTGATCTGTGATCAGTTGGTTTGAGAGTTTAGCTAGCAGTCAATTGACGGAAACGTTTTTATTGGTTTGAGAGTTTAATTGGCGGAAAAAAAAATTATTTGATGAAAACTATTTAAAAAAAAACAAAAGCATATAACAAAACTACCAATACTTAAATAAAAAATAAAATCATATATTAGGTGGAAAACTTAACCTTAAAAAATTAAAAACGGAAAAATACATATAGAAAAATTACTAAAACTTAAAATGAAAAAACTGAAAATATAAAAAAATCTAATTCAAAATTTTAATATATACTAAAATAACACTGTACCTAAGCATAAGTTGAGAATGTGATTAAACCTTAAACATGACACAATCATGAGCATCCAGACCTGTGTTCATGTGTTCCTTTGCAAAATGTTTGAGGCTGAGAATAAAATAAGGTGTCAAGTGTGGTGACAAATCATTTTACATTCGACACTGAATGAGTTTGATAAATGCTTCACTAAAATAGTCTGTAGGTTCCCTGCATCATGCAGCACAGCAGAGCCGAATCCACTGCCGTCTCCATTTATAAATCTGTCCACATCATTATTCCTGGAAAACCTGAGCGCAGTTGGACAGAGAGGGCAGAAGGTAGATTTATTTCTGCCGGTCTCTCCAGCGAACACTTCAATTATCCACCAGTGCCAGATAAAGACGGTTTCAAACCCAAAACACATACAGTAGATCAGCCCATCAGAACGTCCTGACCTTCTCGTCAGTCATGTCCAAACATTTGTGCTTGCAGAAACCACAGAGAAACAGGAAAAGAGCTTTATTAGTTTAACAATAACCCAGTTTACAGTGAGAAATTTTTTTTATTATTTGACCATATTTCTATAATTATTAATCATTTACAAAATAATTGATTGCATTTTAAAGTTAAAATTTCAGTTTTCGGCTTTGCGAGTTTGTGCGACATTATTAACTAATCGCTGTAATGTATTTATTTATGAATAACAAAACGTAAAAATGAAAAGAACTTTCGTTAAATTAAATAAAATCTAAATATTAGATGAAAATTTAAACAAATGATAAAAGTTGCCTTAACTTTTAATTGAAGTACTAAAATTGCATTTGCATAAACATTTAAAATAAGACCAAAAAATTAAGCACATAAAATGAAAACAAAAATAAATGTATTTTTAACTAAAACCTGCACTTTTTAAAGTTTTAACTTAAATTCAAATGAAAAAAAGGAAAAGTTGTGTTAACAGGAATCAAGCTGCAATAAAAGAAAATAAAAATATTAGGAAGATTTGAAATGTTTCCTTGACAACTAACTAAAAATAAGTGTGTTTTCTTATTTGTGCCTCTTGGTAAAACAACAATCAAATAATCTATTTGTATTACTTTTAGTTCATTTGTCATTTATACCACACATTTGGGCTAATTAGTAGTCTATCTGAATACTTATGAAAATGTGCAACCATATGCACATAATATTTAATGTAGTGATCGTTGTTATATTTTGAAAAAGCTCTGAATGCCTGTGTTGACCAATAGCTTTAACTGTCTTTGCTTATTAAACCAGGATAGATGAGTTTTAACGTAAAATATCCTTCAATTGTCTCTTGAAGTTTATGGTTTATAATAATGTGTGTGTTTGCACTGCCTCCTGGAGGAAGAGCACTGCAGTCGTGAAATGTTCAGCAGCACTGCAGGGAAAAGAGCAAGTAAAACAGCAGAAGCACATGTAGAAATGTGAGCAAGAAGACATTCTTGATTCAAGAATTTAATGAATACTTATAAAAAAAAAATTAAAAAAAAGATATTATTATTTAAAGTTCAGTGCATACAAATTACAAATGTGCCCAAGACACTTTCACACTCAAAACGATTAGTAAACAAAAACATCTGATTACACTGCAGATAGATCAGCCGTCCTAATATATGATTAACCACTAAATGTGAAATATCCAAAAACGACCCAAAGTAACATATCAACGGATGACCTTTATGATCAGTAAAATATTAAACTCTTAATTTGATGCTTTCGTTTGTATTCAAAGATCTGTGATTGTTACAAGAAATCACGTTTGGAATGAAAATATAACACCTCTTTATATGAACTATGATACTGTAAACTATGAACAGACAGAGAGTGATCAGGATGACTGTGCAAGCAAACACAGGAGTGAACGTGACAAATAATAGACCAGAGAGACCTGAAGATCAGCAGGTGGTTCATCACACACTAACAAACGTCACGCTTCACTCCACGTCATCTTCCTCCAGACTTTGAGGACTTACTATCCGCTGTGAACAGGAGAAAAGATCGCGGTTAAAGGCATAGTTCACCCAAAATAAACATTTGCAGAAAATGTCCCCATCCTCAGGCCATCCAAGATTAGGATGAGTTTGTCTCTTCATCAGATTTGGAGAAATGTAGCATTGCATCAGTGTCTCAGCAATGGATGCTCTGCAGTGAATGGGTGCCGTCAGAATGAGAGTCCAAACAGCTGATTAAAAACATCACAATAATACTTCTGCACGGCTGCCGCATCTTTAAGATCTGGCAGCTGAAAGATAAAGACCCAAACTTCATCACCTTCATTAAGCTCTAGAGAAGCTTTTAAAACTGAGGTCAAAGGACTAAAATGGAGTGCTAGGGAGTTTGAGGAAAAGTTTACAGAAAAACTAAAAAAACTAAAAAATAAATAAAAATAAGATCTGAACCATAATAAATAAATAAAAAGATCTGACTAACTAAATAACTAGATTTTTTTTTATTATTATTCAAATTAAATCAAATATTTAAATAAATGAAAAAAATAAAAAAGATCAAAATAAAATAAAAGAGCCAACTAACTTAATTTGTTTCAAATAAATAAAAAGATTAAAATGAGAAGATGAATACAATAAAACTGATTAGACAAAATAAATAATTAACAATAAAGTCTAACTAAATAATTATTAAAAATATAAATAAATTGGTTAAAATAAACAAAATAAATAAAAATAAGATCTAACTAACTAAATTGCTTAATATGTATAAATAACAAGTAAAATAAAAACAAATGCTTTAAAAAAAACATAACAGTAAAGTACTATAGTGATAGAAAAATAATAATGTATAATAATGTAACGTAACAGAATCTTAGGTCTTCATACATGAAAATACTGTATATAGCTGTTTTTTACATTTTAAAAATATACTTTTTATTTATTTTTTTTTGCATGAGGTTGATCATATTTGGGGGTCTGTGGCATTTAATGCTTAAAAAAATTCCTGCTCTCGAGGAATATCTACTGAATTAATGAGAAGATTCATAAACCTCTAAACGTGATCAGATGTTTGACCTACTTCAGCGAGTCCAGATTTATTTTGAGCAGCTCTCTGCTTCTTCCTCCCTAAAAAAAAAAGAGAACAAAACAGCACATCAAACTACAGATACCTATATTTATTTATTTTATAGTAACATATTTAATGCACATACATATCAAGTAGCTGACTGCAACTTGAGTTCAATCTTGAGACAGACACAAAAACCCAAGACACCAGACTGATTCGATTCAGCCGATATGATCTACAACACTTAACATCAGGGTGTAAATATCATTCATATTGACTGATCAGACAGCTATCTGATCATGAAAGCATGATCACCTTATGACTCACAGGTGAACCGTTCATACGAGTCGTTCAAACGAACCGATTCAATGAAGCATTCATCTAAGGTCAAAATACAGTCTGAACGTGACTGACCTGCTAGTTATCATCAAGACTTTGTGTTATAACATGAGGGTTAAGGGTATAAGGGTTAACTTTACAGGACTCAGCACTGGTTAGTGTCAGACTTTCAAAGTTAGATTATAATAACAATAATCAATAATTTTAAAGCACAGCCACCACAAAATCCGACTTTAGCCGCTATGTTTACTTTGAGATCATTCTGCGGTTCATTACGTAATTCCATTACATGTTAACTAGTTACTCCCCAACACTAGTCTGTATACTAAACACCAGCTCGGTGAATACAAACTAACTAGTCTTGCGTAACTAGCGCTCTGGTACTCTGTGAGCTAACGCTAGTCTCGCCGATCACATGACTCACGTTCACGCAGTCTGGTTTTGAAGTTCGGATCGCTGCGTCGTTTTCTGTCGAAATAGATACAGTACCCGATGAAGATCGCGCCGCAGACGCCCGCGGCGATCGCGCTCGGTTTGCCGCCCATCATCGCGGCGCCGTTAACGGAGATCTGCTGCGGCTTCTGCAGGGCACGTGCTCACACAGCGGCGGAAGGACCCCTCTGATGACGGTTGTGGCTAGAAGGGATACAGCTCAGACCGGAAACGAACAATTAAATTAATTTTCTATCTATTAGATTGTGTTTTATTAACGTCTACACCTACCCCAACCCTAAAACTACTCCTTACAATAATTAAAAAATTGTAATTATTGTTGTACAGTGTGACAAAAATTACGCTGTATTGATGTGCGCATGCGCAGTAGCACCATACGTATCCCTCCTAGCCTTAACCTCTGTTGAGGCACGCTCTGTGGGAGTGTTCGCTGCAGACGCCTGAAAGATTAAAAACATCTTCACGGAATAATGTGTTCTAAATAGGGTGAAAAAAATGCTTTTATTTTTGTAGCTGCTTTAAGTTTTTCCCCTGCCCTTTTGTTCTGATTTATTTTTGTATGCATAACTGTATAATATTCGATATTTGCATTGAACGATCACAGGCATCAATCTTTTGAATTAACAGGTATAACTGATTATGCTTATTATTGTACAAATGTCTTTATAATATTCTCTGTAGACTCATTCTGGCCTGATTTTTTATTCTACACAAGCTCTCACAACAAGCTATGAACTACTAAAGCGCAGATCAAAATTAGAAAAATAAAAAAATATATATATCACGATTAATGGCATCCAAAATAAAAGTTTGTTTTCATAATGTATGTGTGTGTGCTGTGTATGTTTATATAAACACGCACACATGCATGTATAGATTTAAGAAATATTTACATGTATATATTCATATTTATATGATTTATACTATGCATAAATATTATAAATATTAAATAAATAATATTATATAAATATGTGTGTCTGTGTAATTTTATAAATAAAACAAATTATAACACAAATAATAATTAAAATATAAAATTATAAAGTACACACATATATTAGGTAAACAAAAACTTTTATTTTGGATGCTATTAATAGGAAACTCTGGAGATCTTCAGTACATACGACGCATGTTTTCACCATCGTAACCCTTTCCCTGGTCAGACCGCGCAGGATGAAACCACCGAGGTTTAGAGATGAGAGCCTGACGTTTTCAAAGCAAGGAGAGCCACATCAAAATATAGGAAGGTGTTCCTTGGTTCTCGAAGCTTCTCTTGGTTTTATGGTAACTTGACTCTAGTTCTACTTTTAAAGCAGTAATTCACCCCAAATGAACATTCACTCATCCTCATGTCATTCCACACCATGCTGTTGCTTCTCCTGGGAGTGGCTGTTGTGCTATATTAGAAGTCTTATAAAATCAAGATAGATACGGAAGCTTGAATAATACATTAAAAAAAAATTTATCTCGCAATTCTGGCATTTTTCTCATTTCTCACATCTCCCTATTTAAGTATTTTTTTCTTGCAATTGCAAGTTTATATCTAGCGATTCTGCCATGTTTTTTTCAGAGTTCTGAGTTTGTGTCACAATTTTGACTTTTTCCCCTTAAAGTTCAGCATATTGAAATTATGCCGTTTTTCTTAGAATTCTGAGTTTACATTTGCAATTCTGACAGTGTTTTCCTCAGAATTCTAAATTTACATCTCACAATTTTGACTTTACATGGAATTCTGAGTTTACATCTCACAATTTTGAACTTGTCACAATTCTTTTGTTTTTTTTATCAGAATTCTGAGTTTAAATGTTGCAATTCTGATGTATTTTCCTCAGAATTCTGCATTTACATCTCGCATTTTTGACTTTTTTCCCCCTCAGAATTCCAAGTTTCTCACAATATAACTTTTTTCCTGAGAATTGAGTTTGCATCTTGCAATTTAGATTTTTTTCTCTCAAAATTCTGAGTTTACATTTAAAAATTCTGTCATTTTTCTCAGAATTCTACATTTACATTTTACATTCTAGTTACTTTTTTCCCCTCAGAATTGAGTTTGCATCTTGCAATTATGCCATTCTTGTTTAAATTCTGTATTTAAATTTTTAAGTCATCTTGCACTTTTGAGTTGCATGTCACAATTCTGTCATTTTTCTCAAGAATTCTGAGTTTACATCTTGTAATTCTAATGTATTTTTCTCAGAATTCTACACGTACATCTCTGAGAATTCTGAGTTTACATCTCACAATTCTGACTTTTTCTCAGAATTCTAAATTTGCATCTCACAATTCTGATGTATTTTTCTCAGAACTATATAACCTCAAAATTGTGAGAAAAAAAACTCGCAGTTAGCGGTTTTATTTTTTTTATACCGTGGTGGAAAGAAGCTTCCTCGGAGAGATTTGTGTGAGAAACAGACTGAAATTATGTTGCTTTTAGAGACTGACAGTTGTTGTAGGAAAAGCAAACATCTGCTTTTGTGTTTCACAGGAAAATATCATCAAATGGTTTTGGAAGAACATGAAAGCATTTTCATTTTTAGGTGAACTATTGCTTTAACCCACAAGCCACCAAACCAGCGGACCGTTTCCCACAGTGGCAATGACGTGCCTACACTCACAGCATTGGAAAAAGAGGTGGGAAATGGAAATAAGGAAGACAAACACACAAAGGCTATGTACAGAACAGACCGGCATCTGTCATTGCACTTCTGAATACTGCCACATTAACCATTAAAACCCCACAGGGTCTGGATAGATTTCAGTAGTAAAATACATTTAGAATCCTGGCTGCCAGAAAAAGTCATCAATTCTCAAATTGTCAACAATCATTATACATTTCACCTCCAGAGATACTGAACGCAAACTCTCTCCGTCTCCAAACGTGAGCGCGCTGCTCAATAGCCCTTAGCTCGACTCGCTCGCGCCTCCTTCAGCCGTCTGTCGACAAGACAAACACATGAACAAACGCAGCGGATCGAGCGGGGAACGGTGAAGATGAAGGGCTGTTCATAAGGCTTTCTGAAATCATTAAAAATAAAACAATGGACAAATTGGGATTTAACATTCATAAGACGAGATCTGAACCAAAACACAGCCAAGTCAAATTTAACCCTAAAACTAAACTAAATTCAATTGTGAAATGAATTTATATATAATTATTAAATATACAATTCTCATCACTTTCAACGGTGATTCTCATTACTGCAATATGGCATTTTTTGACAATAATATTAAAAAAATCTTTCATAATGAAACCAATTTTTAGGGCCATTTTAAGATTTTGTTTTTCCATTATGACATGATTTATATATAATTATTTATTAAATATATAATTCTCAATTGCTACTGTAACAGTATTTTTAAAAACTATATATTTAATAAATAATTATATATTAAAAATATCAATGTAAAAGAATTGCATAATGAAACTCATTATAAAGGCCTTTAAGATGTATTTTCTTTGTGAAATTACTTATATTCAACTATTAAATATACAATTCTAATTATTTTCAATGTTTTTGTAAAATTACTGTAATACAGTATATTTTAATTATATATTTAATAAACAAGTATATATATATATATATATATATGAAACATTTCGCACTGTTGAAAATTAGTGGAATTACTGCAATCCAACATGCTTTTTTGTTTTCAATTTATACTTGTCATTCATTTGTTTATTAATTCATTGAATCTTTATGTAGTGTTAGCTATTGTTTATACGTTAACTCAAGTTTAATCAACTTGCATCGCTGTTCTGAGAAGAAATTTACAAAAATTTAATTAAAGGCTAAAGGTTTTATCATGAGTTCGGTTAACAAATTAGAAAACAAATTCACAATGAAAAAAGCATAACAAAAACTGTTATTTTTTGTTGTGAAATTGCTTAAATCATTTCCATTCTCAGTGATTATCATAAATCTCATTACTGTAATACAGTAATTATATTTTATATATATATATATATATATATTTATAGAAATCAATGTGAATTGCATTCATTGTGAAATTATGAATCAGTGGTGA